ACACATTGATAATCAAATTGATAATCACTTATATTCGAATAGGGGAACAATACGCGAAAAAACTTGCAGATGCTGGAATTACAAATTTTGAACAGTTAAAAGAATGTGAGCCATGGAGAATTGAAACTGTTAGTAGCTAGTTTAAAATTTTGAAGAAAACATTGATAATTGATTAATATCGATATAATATTGATAATTGATTAATATCGATATTGTAGGCTTGCAATCGATATCCACCATTCGGACATAACGTAAAAGGTCACATGATATTCTTTTTTGCTTGTTTAACTTTACAAACATAAATTTATATAGGTTCACGAAGCAGTTGCGACTCTTCCAAATCTTAAGCTCGATATTGAGCATGTAATTATTTACATAAGAATTCAAATCTTTTTTATCCTCTTTATTTCGTAATAACAACCTTCTACATTCAATTTGGGGTACATTCAATTTGGGGATAGAGTGTCTCTAACTCATCAGAATATCAGATATATATTGTGAATATTTGTCTAAGAAATAATGAGAAAGTATCTACAAAGCGTAATGGAATGAATTTAAATGCAGCATTTATAGCGGCTACAGAGGACTTGTTAATAGAATTTCGCCAAATGCCGTAAATACTATTCTTTATTCTTATGTATTATTATGTATTATAGCTTTACATAATATTGTTCACCAAGTTCAATAATATCAATAATACCCAGGTTATGGAAAATCCAACAAGGATTAAAGTTTCATTTCAAGACGAATATTCAGATGAACCAACTGATCACTTGTTCCGTTTTATCGGAGGAATTTAGTGAGTGCAGGGGTTTTATTATTTTTCATAATTTTTTGATGTAAACCAGGTTACTGGATCGTTATATGATCACATTGTGTAAATATCCGGTATTATTTGAATTTCAGTCGGATTGGATGTCTACAAAACAATTGTACCCGACAATCAATCTTTGGATGTTTGTAATAACCTTATTGCACCCATTGAACCATCACATGAATCGCCGAAAAAGTTCGAAATCAACAAGGTATAGTTTCATTTGTTAATTTGTTAAATTAGGCATAAAAATATTTAATATTTAATAAAATATGAATTTAAAAGCTTCCTTCCGAAACGAATCGCGTACAACACCAGAAACAAGGTGTTATCGAAAGTAAAGAGGTAAACCATTTGGAATTGTGAATAATATTGTTTAATATTAAATACATTTATAATTTATTTAATATTCCATTACAGACATACAATATGAAGGAAAAAGAAAAGCAACATGACAGCAATATAAAAGGTCCAGAGTTGTTACCTAACGGACGAGTAAAATGCAACCATCCTTGTAAAGATAAACAAAAGTATTTTACTTATCGTATATTATATGGTTGTTATGTATAAATCACAATTTTAACCGATTTGCGATTAGATGCGCACATGAATGTTGCAAAATTGGGTGTAGACGTGCACCAAAGAAGCGAAAGAATAATAATATAACTTCTTCGCCAACATTTTCATACGATAAACAACTTAACATTGACGAATCAATATTCAACGAAGAAATGAAATCACAGCCAGTTATTCATGACGAATATGGTTTTCTAGACCAATCATGGTTTGAAATTTGGAATGAGTTTGATTTAATTTCAATAGTGGATTTAGATGAGGATAGGTTTTCTGAATTACCAAAAATGGCAATAGAAAATAAGAAAGATACAGACGAA